TAATGTAGCAAGAAGTGCTTGTGCTTTTCGACCAAAAATATTTTAGCAATTTTTTTCCACAAAACATGGTTCTAGCTATTTCCTCTAAAGTTTTATTTTCCTCTTAAAAATTCCATTTTATTGAGGGTTTTAGGGGTTGAAAAATTATGGTTAATACCACAAGAGTTGAAAAACTTTTCAAAAATAATATTTTGAAATTTAGTTCCATGGTCACTCCTAATAGTAGAAATTGAATAACTTTTTTTTTTTTCATTTTGGTTTATTTTTGAAAATGTGATGAATTTGTCTAAAGATTTAACTTTAGTACTTAAAAAGAGAACCCATGTGAATCTAGAATAGTCATCAAGAAGTACAAACGCATATTGTTTTCTACTTAAGCTAGTAGTCCTAATAGGCCCAAAAAAATCCATGTAAATCAATTGCAACATTCTAATTAAGGAAACATCATTACTGGATTTAAATGATACTCTTTTATGCTTACCTTTTACACATGCATAACAAATTTTGTTTAAATCAAATTTTAGCTTTGGAAAACCTCTTACTAGATTATCTTTTACAAGTTTATCTAATATGCACATGCTACCATGTATATGTTTTCTATGTCATAACCTTGAATCATTTTTATCTTTAGCTATTAGAAATACATTTGAGGAAACAATATCATCTAAATGCACCAAGTAAATGTTTCTTATTCTATGCCCAATAAACATAATAATGTTTGATGTTATATCAACTATTTTACAACTGTTAGACTAAAAAATGACATTGTATCCTTTGTCACACAATTGAGTTATACTAAGTAGATTATGCTTTAAATCATTGACATATAACATGTTTTTAATCAATATAGAAGAGTTATTATCAATTAAACTGATTCATTCTATATGGACTTTAGAGTTGTCACCAAAAGTCCCTACTCCTCCACTTTTAGACTTGAGCTCTTTGAAATGGTTCTTATCACCAATCATATATCTTGAGCATCCACTATCAAGGTACCATGACTTTTATGTTTTATGTCTTGTAGCAATGCTCCTCTACCTACAAACATAGATTAATTTTGATTTTTGGAACCCAAATTCTTTTGGATCAATAGGCATTAGTTCCTAACAATATAGTCCCCTTAGTTATCCATTTTTCTAGGATATCATTTTCTTAGTAGCAATAAGTCCTTTGGGAACTTATATACTCCTAATAACTTTCCCATTAGAGGTTTTTTAGGGACCTCTATATTTGTATTGTCTAAAACTATTTTAAACATAATTGGATTTATAAGTTTGACCTTTTTATAATTTGTTTGATCCAATATTGTTAAAAGAAACTTTAAGACCATCAAGTTCCTTTTGATGATCATCATGAAATTTAGAAAGTAAGTTATGCAAACCTTGATTTTTCTTTCCAAAATCATCAAATTTGACTTTCATATTTTTAATCTCACTTTTACGTTCATTATTGATCTTAGCTAAGAGATCATTTTCATTTTTCATTTTTGAAATATATTTTTTATTCTTTGTAAGCATGATCTCAAATTCTAAGGCCAATTCATCATAATCCTCTTATAGTTCATCAAAAGAATATTCATTTAAATGAGATGAACTAGAGGTTACCTTAGTTTCTCCCTCGATGACCATGATAAACAAGTTGACCAATTATTGTTCTTCTTCATCAGAGCATTCTTAATTGCTCCATATAGCTAAATGTGCCTTTTGTGCCTTATTGCTTGACCCCTTATTCTTCAATTTAGGAAACTCAAACTTGATGTGTCTCAATTTATTGCATTCATAACGAATGATGGGGTCTTTCTCTTTCTATTCATTCTTAAATTCCTCATTCTTTGAAATATTCTTCATTTGTTGGACTTCATGAATCTTCTAAATCTTTTAGTAAACATTGTCATTTCTTTACCTTATTTCTAACTAGAATCACTCTCTTCATTGGAAGACTTGAGAGCAATCCCAACTTTATTCTTTTCTAACTTTTTCTCATCCTCATTATTGAGTCTTATCTCATGGGTGAGAAGAGACCCAATGAGATCATCCAGTGTAAGAACTTCCGAGTCTTTGGATTCTTCAATAGCCATCATCTTGGATTCCAAAGCCATTGACAAGCTATTAAGAAATTTTCTCACAATTTCTTCATTGGTTTAGAATTTCCCAAAATCCATTAACTCATTGATGATGATGATAAAACTTGTTGCATGTGTGAATATAATATGATATGGAACATAATTTTTTGCAAGTATTAACAATCAAACAAGTAATATAGTAGTGAGTTAGTATCGTCTCCACAGAGATTGATGGGATTTTCTAGTCAAGCTAATTGACTATTTGAGTCTAATTATGTACTATTTGAGTCTAATTATGTATATATGGTATACACAATTAATTAAGAAAACTATGGTAAATGGTATGTCTAAGGAGTATGGAAGTGTTGTGAAAACTATTGGAGTGAAGTGATGTAACAACAGTGAAAAGTAATGAAGTGGAAAAAAAGTAAAGAGTGATATGGAAAAATAACTATGGAAAAATAAAATTGAACTCTGGATAATGAAATAAGACTTGATAACCTCACACAATCAATCATCTATAGTAATTGGTTGTATTTGCTATGGCAATTAATATTTTGTGTATACAATGGTCTATATATTCTGAGTATGTTGTTTGACAGGGTTTACTACTAGTGCTCCTAGGCTATATCTAGTAAGGAACTTGACAGAAAAATAATACGATAATACCTCTCAACGTAAAATGTAGCACAATTCTATTTATTACGTCCTACCCCTTTTAGTCATTAAAACCCTCTCCTTATATCTAATGAGGATTAGAGCCTCACCATCTCGATTTAAATCTCATGCTCAAGTTGATCTAGCCTAACTCTCTCGATGTTAAACATCCATACTTAGCAAACGACTAACTCTTGAAAGCTCTTAAAATATTAAGCATTTAAAATATAAATAATCAGTAAAGCAAAATTTAAACATAAAAGCATTCAACCATTCATTAACACAAATTATAAATCGTTCAAATCAAACCCAACGCCAAATATATTAGTTCATGGCGGAGCTAAGTGATAACTCTCCAAAAGAGTTATATTTTATATCCTTTTTTAATTAGGTTAAGTTTGCATTTTATCATTCTTAGGATAATATTTAGATTTATTGTAGCATATTTTACATCATTTACATATTGGGAGTAAATTATTGGTATTTGGGCTGATTTTGATATTTTTGCTGGAAAAATGATATACTGATGATGTAACATTGTTAATGTTGTAGCTGTTACTGGACTGGATTATCGAGATGATGCTACAACACTGTAGCGTTACCAGGCAGTTGGAGAAATTTTAGGAATTGACAACTGTCCACAACTGGTACATGATTAAATGTTGGAATTTGAATTTAAGAAGGAATCTTCAAAAAAATGGGAACTTTTCTATTGGTAGAAAGTTTAATCTTGATGGGCTATAAATATAACTTTTTATACAAACTTTTCCCATCATAAGAAACCCTAGCCGCCTCCTATTTTCCCTCATACCATGGCTACCAAAACAATTTGTCGGGAAGTGTAGTAGTAGTTGGGGAGAACTACTGTGAAGCAGCGGCGATCAAGCAGAGTTATACTTTTTCCCCCCTTTCTTGAGATAGGGAAGTAACAATTATTTAGTAGAATAGTTATGTTACTTTGGATGTTATTTGGTTCAAATATAAGGTGTTTGATTAAATGTCTCTTGTTATGTTTTATGTTTAAACATTACTTTTATGTGCTACCATCCTTATGTGAATATTTTAGAAATAATTTTATCTCTATATATGTGATTTCAATAATTTTTAGAAATAAAATTTGTGGACTTTTATCATACTATCTTTGTACAATGTTGGTATTTTTGAAAAGTAAAGCTTAGTATATAGAGATGTATGCCGCCAGTCGTCCAACACTGTTAACTATTTGATTAAATTGAATTAATGAAGGTTGATTCTTGTTAATTGAATGTTTTTAATCATTGCTAGACATATGAATTCGCTGTTTTAAGCATATCCATAGTGGGAACGACCAAACATCACCTGCATATATGGAATCTTTGATATGTTGCTCACCCGAATGTTGTAGCACCATCCGACACTTATCATTCTGATTTTTATACTTTGCTGTTTTTTATATTTCCATCATTTAACCTTACATCATTTGAAATCTTTCACACAATGTAATTTGTTTTGCTATCTTTGGGTTCGACATCCGAATCTTTTATAGCTTCCACTTTATTACTTGAATGATATGCATACTTTCGTGATTGCTATAGCATCTTACGTTGCATGAAGTTTTTGGTGTTGTTGCTGGGAGCATCGATTTTACATTAGAGTTATCTTTAATTAATAATTTTTTCCTTTTATTTTTGTATGTACTTATTTCCTTTTCCAAGTTTTGTTATTTTATGTCCCCTAGTGACAATAAAATTAAACCGTTTGATCCAGAGTTAAAATGAACGTTTCGACTTCGTTGAAGGGAAACTGCTAGAAATCAAGCGAACATGAATTTTGGAAATAATAACAATGCTCTACCTCTGCTACAACATGGAAATAACAAAAAGATACTAGCTAGAGTTAGAAACAATCAACAGTAGTATTACAACATGGATAACCATAATCGCCCTATTTAGGAGCACGTGGTGCCAACACTCGTCGATTTACATCTTGATATTGTGCGACCAACAATAAATGATACCAATTTTGAGCTAGAGCCAATTATGTTTCAGATGCTGCACTCAATAGGCAATATAGCGGTTCATTTGTTGAATACCCTAGAGCACACCATAGAGCATTCATGAAGGTGTGTGACTCTTTTATACAACAAGGAGTACCTGAAAAAGCCTTGAAGCTGTAATTTTTCCCTACTTACCCTTGATAAAGCTAGAGCATGGCTTAACTTTTTGTCGCCTGGTGCTATAGCATCATGGAATGAGTTAGCCCAAAAATTCTTGTTACGTTTCAATCTGCCCAATATGAATGCAAAGTTGCGAAATGACTTGACATCTTTCAAGCAACTGAAAGATGAGAATTTGTATGAGGCATGGGAAAGATTCATGGACTTACTGTGAAAATGTCCAATACACAGATTTCCACATTGGATGCAAATGGAAATGTTCTATAATGGGTTGAACATGCACACTCGAATGGTGGTTGATGCTTCAACAAATGGAGCATTGCTAGATAAGGCGTATAATGAGGCTTATGATATTTTGGAAAGAATATCTAACAATGACTAATAGTACACCAACACGACGAACATGTTCAGCAGATGCAATGTTGCAGCAATGGATATTGATGCTTTCAATTCCGTGGCTTCCTAAATTACAACATTGATAAACACGGTTAAGAAGTTGCAATAACCAAGAGGTATGTATGAGGTAAAATCTACATATCTTGTTAATTGTGTTTATTACGATGATAACCATAATTTTGAAGAATGTCTACAAAACTGTGAGTCTATTTATTTTTTTTGAGAAATTACAACATGAATGACAATGCCAATGCTTTTATGAACACTAACAATCCAACCTTCCATAACCATCCCAACCTATCTTGTCATAGTCAAAATGTTGTTAATCCACGTAGCAGCACTATAATCAACAACAATAATACAGTCCAACGTAATAGTACAATCAACAACAACCAGTGCTTCTGCACCAGACACAACAATAAGCTGCACAACCTCGGTAGAATTATCAAGGATAGACTTCAATGCAATCTACCAATCTTACATCCCTAGAAGCCTTAATGAAGGAGTACATGTCGATCTAGTCAGTATCACTAAGGGCTTTAGATAATTAAGTTAGACAGTTGGCGAATGTTTTAACTAATAGGCAGCAAGGAATACTGCACAGCGACACTGAAGTTCCAAAAGCTCACGGGAAAGCTCAATGCTACGAGTATTCTAAAGCCATCACAACTTAAAGTGGTCTCCATATTGGGAATCCTAATGAGGAGCCTAAGAAGAATGATGATGATGGGTATGAAAAGCAAAATAAAGGTAAAGAAAATGAAGTAGACCTTGAACCAACAGTGGTTATCACATTAAAGGATGCAAGACAGAGAACTAATTTTGGGACAGTGCCAACAAAGCCTACAAGATTGCTTATAATGCCACCATCATCATCAATGTAGAATAATCTAAGACCTCCACCACCTTTTCCTCAACAATTCAAAAACATCAAGGAGGACCAGTAATTTAAAAACTTCATTAAAGTGGTGAGGCAATTAACAATCAACATTCCATTAATTGATGCATTAGAGTATAATCTGAATTACATCAAATTCATGATGGAGGTACTATCGAAGAAGCAAAGACTTAATGAGTTCTTTTGTACTCACTAAAGGGTGCAGTGCCATGGCTGCGAATAGATTACCACAGAAATTAAATGATCCAGGGAGTTTTACTATCCCTTGTGTTATTGGTGATCGATTTATAGGTAGAGCATTGTGTGATTTAGGTTCCAACATTAACTTAATGTCTCTATCTATTTTTAGGAAACTTGTCATTGTCGAGGCCAAATATACTGTTGTGACACTTCAACGTGCTAATTGATCCATTGTTATTCCTGAGGGCATAATAGATAACGTGTTAGTCTAAGTGGACCTTGTAGATTTCATTGTTCTAGAATGTGAAGCTAACAAAGAAGTGCCAATCATACTTAGCAGACCATTCCTTGCTACAGGCAGAGCAATAATCGATGTTGAAAAGGGAGAACATACGATGTGTCTTAATGATGAACACATCACATTTAATGTTTTAAATCCTGTTATAAATGATGATAATGTTGAATGTCATTCTATTAACATCGTTGATGAAAATGTACATGAAAAAATGGATGAATGTTACAACATTGAGAATGATACTCCTAATGTCGCAGCAATAGAAGAATTAGATGAGTCAAATCATAAGGAGACAAAGACAAATGAGGGGAACCAAAGCTTCTATATTAATCATGGCATCAACAGTAATTCTACACTACTAATGTTGACTACAGAGCTATAGCATAAATACCTGAGGAAAACTGCAAATACTACCATGGAGCAGAACAACATAACAACAAGGAACGTTTCACAAGGCTCTAGTAATGAAGGTTCTCATCTAAAAATTCACCCTGTGAATATGCAACATTTCTATGGTTTCAATTAAAAAGTGCACTTCATGACTGATTATAGCAAGCAAGAGTTTTGATATGAACAATGTTGTAATCCTACAAGCACAAGAGCCATAGAGAATTCTGATGATGCCATAGCAAGTATCGATAAAATAAAGGAGAATCGGTTTATTGAGATCCAGGCGAAGTTACCACAAACTTCAATTTCACTATGTGAAATAATTTTATTTCCCTTCTTTCAATAAGTCAATTTTGACATTAGCTTAGTTTGTATTTTTCTTTTCATTTTTTTCTTCTTTCTTTTTATCTACAGGGAATGCCACAACATTATCTATTGCTTCACCAATTTTTCCTCTATACTGCTATCCAACAAATATCGTTATTCTACTTGCACTCTATTTCCCATTTACTAGAAACATGAGCCTAAGGGTGCCCAACGAGGGGATTATTGTTTTCCTTTCTCCCATTTGTTGTTTTATTTTATTTGTTTGCATACATTGAGAACAATGCACATCTAAGGTTTGGGGGTGTTGTTCACTTTGTCATATTGCATTTGTTATATCATGTTTTGTGTTTTGCATTGTTCATTCAAGTTTTCCATGACATCCACTTTTCATGACATTTAGATGGATAAACAATTGCCGAAACTTTGCTTTTTAGTATTCTTAGGTTTGGGGTGTGATAATTCTTCAAAAAAAAAGTATATTTTATATATCTTTTACTTAGGTTAAGTTTGCATTTTAGAATTATTAGGATCATATTTAGACTTATTTTTAGCATATTTTACATCATTTTCATATTGGGAGTAAATTATTTGTACTTGGGTCGATTTTGATATTTTTGCTGGAAAAATTATATACTGATGTTGTGAGACCGTTAATGATGTAGCCGTTGCTGGACTGGATTACCGAGATGATGAGCAACACTGTAGCTTTATGAGGAACCTGGAGAAATTTTAGGAATTTCCTGTTGTCCACAACTGGTGCGGGATTAAATGCTGGAATTTGAATTTAAGAAGGAATCTTCAGAAAAAGGGGAACTTTTCTATTGATGGAAAGTGTAACCTTGATGGGCTATAAATATAACTTCTTCAACACATTTTTTCCATCATCAAAAACCCTAGTTGCCTATTATTTTCCCTATTACCATTGCCATCTAAATAATTCGTCGGGAAGTGCAGCAGTAGCCAGAGAGCACTGCCATGAAGCAACGACTATCAAGTGGAGTTCTATTTTGTTTCCCCCTGTTCTGAGATAGGGAAGTGACGATTATTTAGTAGAATAGTTTTGTTATTTTGGATGTTATTTGGTTCAAACATAAGGTGTTTGATTAAATGTCTCTTGTTATGTTTTATGTTTAAACATTGCTTTTATGTGTTGTCGAGCTTATGGGAAGATTTTAGAAATAATTACATTTCAATGTACGTGATTTCTATAATTTTTAGAAATAAAGGTTGTGGATTTTTATCATACTATCTTTGTGATGAATTGGTGTTTGTGAAAAACAAAGTATAGTATATAGAGATGTATACTGCCAATCGTCCATCATTTTTAACTATTTGGTTAAATTGAATTAATGAATGTTGAGTCTTGTTAATTGGATGTTGTTAATCATTATTAGACACATGAATGCACTATTTTAAGCATATCTATAGTGAGAATGGCCAAATAGCACCCGCATCTATTGAATCTTTGATTTGTTGTTCACCCGAATGTTGTAGCACTTCCCGACAATTATCATTATGATTTTTATACTTTGTTGTTTATTTATATTTCTATCATTCAACCTTTCATCATTTGAAATCTTTCACATAACTCTATTTTAATACGTTTTTCTCTCTGTGGGTTCTAACTCCAAAGATTTTATAGCTTTTACATTATTACTTGAAATATACGTGTACTTGCATGATTGATAGCGCATCTTACGTAGCATCACTAAGTTCATTCATCATCAACGTTAAGCATAAACCGATATAAAATAAATAAATGAAAGAACAATAAGAAGAAAACTCCCAAATGAGCTGCTTTCATGACAAGTAGAACCACCGTCGTAAACTCTCTTGGCAAGCTAGCCACTATCAAGGTCTGAGATACTACCCCTTCGAAGGTCGACTATGGAGGACACCACGAAAAAGATGAAAAAGAAAGAAAAATGTAAGTTTAATGTAATCACCTTTCACTCTTCTCTCTTAGGTAACCTCCCAAAAAGCTCCTTAAAATGTAGGGTACCTTTAAGTATTTATAGTAGGGAATTTCTTACGGTTTTTGGCCCAAAAATTCCATTTGCGCCATAGGATTCACACTCTTCACAAGAATTGAAGGGCAGGTTAGCAAGTGGTCCTAAAAGTGACAATATGGTAGTTTATCACTTGTGGCTAGACAACATGGCAGCTTGATATTTTTGTTATTTTGTTTTTTTTGCGCCCAGACTTGCTATCCAAAATTGTTGCGACATTTTTCTTCATAAGCTCAACAGTCCTTCCTATTTCTTTATCTAGAATAGTACAACAACCACATCTTATTCTTTGCTTTCTTCACATGTACAACACCAATAAAACAAGACCTTTCCCCTTAGCAGCATCGATTTTTGACAAATAAATGCTACAACAAAACATTACCACCACATACAATTATATGACCTAAATGCAACTAAATTCTATGACATGATCTTTTAGACAATCAATAACCTAAGTAAAAAGGCACAAAATAAAACCTTTTTAGGGGGTTATCACATCCCCAAACTTAAGCTATTACTTGTCTTCAATCAAAGGATAATGATTATAAGAAAAATGCTATGGCAAAAGTTGAGTCAAAACAATAACATGGGATAAACTTTCATCCCTCAAGACTAATTGGCTTCAACATGCTAGACAAGTTAAGATATCAAGAATGTTTCCCTATAGCAAAATCCTTTTCATATGTGTGTGCGTGATTGTATCCACTCTATGCTTAACAAAGTTAAAAAATTTCTAGGC